CAGTACAAAAGACGATTGGTTCAGTATTTGAGTGTTCAAATGGCATGTTCTTGTTCATGAGTCAAATGCTTAAGTCTCTTTAAGTACAAGTTTTGTGTGATCAAGGATTGTATCATGTATTATGTGATCAAGGATGAGCACTATCTGTTAGTACGGTCAAGGATGATCATCATGTGTTTCTATGAGCATGTACCGTCAGAGTTTGGATGTCACAAGCTTGGAGTGCGTGAAGATGCTCCAGCCAGAAGGGAAGCATTGGATTAAGATGGGAGCATAAAGAGAGCAAGTTTTATAGGATTCCCTATGTGGTGAAGACTTCCGAGGGCTGTGTTATGTGTCATGAGTCTAGTAAGAATTAGAATGTGAAACAAAGCCCCAGTCGAGAAAGAGGATTTACCTGAGTTGAAAATAGTAAATTACAATGATAAAACTCCCTTCATCCCTAAATAAACTTCATACCATCTTTGTCCCATTTTACCTTTTTTGTCCGTCCCGCTATTATTGTCTTATTCCATATTTAGTCATATTTGTGTGGTTCACAATCACTCTTACTTTATTTTAATTATTAACATTAATATCAACCACACAAACTTACTTTTCTTAATTTCCATGCCACTCCCCCATGTCCCAAAAATAGTGGGATGGAGGGAGTATTACTTATTCCTTTTAAGGAAAGTAGCATGTGGTTCACATTATTTCTATTTTATCTAAATAAAATTTGACCAAAAAACTTTCATTTTCTTATACTTCGTGCCCGGTCAACCCAGGAACTAATATAGAGATGGAAGGAGTAATTCATAATGGGAAATATTCTAGCATAAACTAAGTACTTGCAAATTCGAAATGCACTTGAATCCAAATCAAACGCAGTTCAACATTACCTTTGTGCCAAAATCAGTCAAGGCAATAGCCATGTTATTCTTTGCAATCTCAAAGTTTGGAGACACAACCAAACATCTGAATCCACGCAGCAAAGAAAATCACAAAATCAAATGAGGAAGCATGCAATGAATTTGAAAGATAACGAAACTCAATGAGAAGATGGCTACCTTTCATAACAAGCAATGGCTGACTCCAAATCCCCCCGATTTTTGTATATAACACCCATATTGCAATATGCTTCAGCATACATAGGCCTTTCCAATGCTGCCTTCTCATAGCATCTAAGCGCCGAATCATATTGCATCATCTCCGAATATATCACACCAAGGTTATAATAAGCAGGCTGCATGTTTCACAACTAAAATGAATTGATTTGCTAATTTGGCATAAGCATCCAGGTCAAGAGGAAGAGAATGATGAACTTACAGCATAGTGTTCATCGATTTCGATTGCCTCATAGTACTTTTGAATACCCTCCTGGGTATTACCAGCAAGCTTTAAGCTGGTTCCAAGGTCTGTTAATACGATCGCAAGGCATTCTGCAGCTGGTTTATAAGAAGGGTCTGCCTTAAGAGCTTTTTGATAAGACTGCTTGAAAAATATATATTACACCAGTATTCAGTTAGGCAAACGTGAAAAAGAAACCCAAAGCAGGTAGTTAAAGTTCCAATTAGCTGTAAAACAAAGACAAACTTGCAACTGCTTGTCTCCAGAAAAAGCATATAATATGTGTAATTGAACTTTGTATTATCAATAAATACTGATAGTGTCAAACTCTACTCGTGTTCAACTAAAGAAGTATACTCCTCAAGTACTTCTAATCCCTATCAAAGATACAAAGCTCACAAAAATCCAGAGTTCTTGTGAACAAATCCGCAGTTATTGGACTTGCAACTTCTTTCAAAATGATAGAATTATGAAATTCTCTCTCAAATCCGGAGTCATAATTATGGATAATGATCATGGAAAAAAGAGTGCAATTTATGCTAGATATCAACTAGTAGAATATGAGTCCATTTCCAACAGCTAAAAGAGTCTTTTTTTACATTGTTAGATAATTGACTAAATCAAAATGAAGAACTAAACTTCACGTGTTACTTACTTTCTATGAAGTTTTGGATTGTAAATGAATCAATGAATTGAGTGTCTAATGGAAACAATCTCTCTATTTTTTTTACGGGGGTAGTGTTGCATAAACTTAAAACTTATGTCCCCATACCCCAACAGAGTTGGGATTATATTGGTACTGTTGTTACCAACAAGTAGAATATGGGTATCAAAATAATAGTTTTTCATATAATGACAAGAACTATAAATTGGAACTGCCTCACACATACCTCAGCTGCATCTACCAGTCGACCTTCATCTTTGTACAAAATTCCACAATGTGTAAGAGCGCATGCATTATGTGGTTCCAATCTGATAACTTCGGAAAAACATTCAAAAGCAGGAGTGGGCATGTTCCGCATCTGCAGGCATACACCTTTTCCAATGAGAGCTTCAACATTTCCACCTTCTTTTTCTAATACCTTTTCATAGATAGCAAGTGCATCGACAAACTTGTTTCTTGATCGGAGGATATTCCCAAAAGAAACATCATATTTCCTTTCAACAGTATCCTTTGTTTGACTATTGCAATCTCGAGAGCCTCCACTGCCTGATGGAAGTTGGTCAGTTTTCACAAAACCATTGCTAGTAACTGAGTCAGCATCCTTCACATTCTCAGTGTCGCACTCCGTCCATGCCATTGAACTAAATTAGCAGAATAGCACTAAACCAAGAGATGGGAATACATTGTGTCAAATAAAAAAACAAAAATTTTCCCTCAAAAAAAGTCATAAAGCATAGTTATTGCATCCCAACAAAAGGTCATTATTACAATGCCCATAATAGTATATTACAGCTATTCTCTAATGCAGAAATTGGTTACTTTCTTGTCAATAATGTCTTGATACAGGAAAACATCTAAATTCATTTCCAGAAAATGAACATAATAAATTATAGTTGAATAAAAAAGATTGCACAATTGCCCGAATCGGTTACATAAGGGAACAAAGATGGGTACTTTTGCAAACCATATAAAGTAAAAGGGAGGGCAGCAACCAGAAAACCCCGAGAACTTTGACAAATCAACAAAGAACGCACACAACACCCACTAACAAATGTTGAAGCGTGAACGAGCCAAACCTTAGGAGAAATCGCGTATAGCGCACAGGTACACTCGGGCATGAGTCAAGCATGCCTCGGACACGGGTCGGGCGCGGCGGACTCCAGTGGTGGTGGGGAAGAAGCCGGCAGATTGATATGAATTAGTTGTGGTGCCTGGTTGCAGGCTCTTGATGGGTTTATGGGGTTTCTTCTTTTGTCTTCCGCAGAGGGTTTGGATATGAATGATGGAGACGACGAGTGTTGAGCTCCACAATGGAGAGGGCAGCTGTGAAGTATACGGCAGTCAGGCTACTCTTGAGGAGGGATGACCGGATGAGTGCTTGAATTTTGATTCTCTAAGATTAGGGTTGGTTTTGAATTTAAGGGTTGTATTCAATCAGGATTCTGAAAGATTTAGACAGATTGATTAAAGTCTATGGATTCTGCAAAATCTATAAATTATTTTATGTCTATGCAGAGTTTGATAGATTCTAATGGATTTTATCAGCAGAATTTTATAAGATTCTGCTTGATTGTTTATAATCTATAGATTACTTATGTATAAATATGAATTATTTTATAAATTTATACATTGTTGTAACATGAACTATTGTAATTAGCTAGTAAAAAACTTTATTTATGAAATTCTTAAAAAAAAATTAAAAATAATCTAATAAAATAAAAATAATTTATTTTTTAAAAAATTTTTCATTTTCGAAATAAAATTTATTAGAATAAAATAATTGGAAAATAAAATTACTAAACAACTAAAAATAAAATTATCATTTTTGTAATATATTTATTAGAATGAAAATTATCCTTTTTGTAATAAAATATTTATTTTGCATCTAAAATTGTTATTATCTCTCCGCTATTCTTCTTTTATGTCAAAACTCATCAATAATGAAATGCTAAAGACAACTCAAAAGAAGACATTATTCAAAATTTTAAAAGATAATTGAAAAATAAAATTACTAAACAACATAGTCTTCCATTTCAACTTCATTATCACCAAAACCTTCTTCATTCTCCTCATTAACATCATTTTGTGGTCTATCGGCCCACATAGCTTCAGCAATGCCATGTCTCCAAGCGTTAGCTTCTGCTCTTTGTTGTTGTTGAGTTTGAGAAAGTATTTCAGAATTTTCTTCCTCCATGTCAAGATATGTTGAAGAAGATGACTCAAGTTCTGGTTCAGGATTAAATTCATCAGAACGACACTCTTTACGAAGAAAGTTGTGTATTCCTGCACAAGCTAACACTAGCTCTGCTTGTGTTTGAAATGGAAAGGGAGGTGCAGTTTTGAAAATGGTGAAACGTGATTTAAAGATACTAAATATCCTCTCAATAACATTTCTCAACGATGCATGACGAAGATTGAACAACTCATTTGCATTTCGGGGGTGACGGCCCTGACCTCCAAAATCTTTGAGATGATACCGAACACCTCGCAATGGTGCTAAAAATTGTCGTCGATTCGCAAATCCACAGTCAACCAAAAAATATTTTCCTGAAATAGAAACAGAATGACATATACACATAACAAATATTTTCATACAAAAAGTAATAAATTAACAACAAAATTAATTTAATTACCTTGAGGCACTTCAAGTCCATTTCTTCTACATAATGCATCGTTTAGCATTTTTGAATCATGTGCTGATCCTTCCCACCCACTAAGCACATATATGAATTCCAAATCAAAGTTGCAAGCTGCTAAAACATTTTGGGACTGAATGCCATGACGATTACGATAACTACTTACTTGACGACCTTTTACAATTGCAGGAATATGAGTGCCATCAATGGCACCAATACAATCCTAAAGCATAATAAAATTGTAAAATTGAGACAAATTTGTAGTTCATACATTTAAAACAATAGTAATCAAAATTGGTTCATAATCAACTTTGTATTACTTTTGTCAAAGAAGGTACCTTAAAGTAGGGGTAAAATCTTGTGTTGCCTCTTATTTTAGAAGGCACGGCAAATCCCGGCTTGACCATCATTTGTGGTGCTATAGTGTTTAATGCCTTCAAAACTTTGTTAAAGTTTTGACTCGTTGCGAAATGTGAACGACCAAATCTTTGACGAACATTACAATGTCTATATGACCAAGCACATATAAAGTAAAACTAACCACTTCTTTACACATATGCATACCTAAAGAAAAAATTAACATATAAATAGACATATGCTTACTGCCAAGAGCTATTACCTATGGGCTCTTCTTCTTGTTTATTTTGCTCATTCCACCATCAATAAAAACTTTCTCAATTCTATGTGTAATCTTTTTACCCCTTATTTTCCTATCAATTGGTTTGACCTGCCACTTTATGTCCTACCCTTACACAATTCACCATTTCTGTTATTTTTCAAGGAGAAGCAAAATTCATAATTATTCTTTGCCGAGAAAATCAATTATTATTCCACGTGATTTATCCCTAAATTCAAATGCCAAATGATTTAATTCAACCAATAAAGTGGAGTAAAACTTATATGCCAAAACCACCATAGGCTACTCCAACTTATTGTTGGGGGAATTTCTACAAACACATAGAGGGCATAACATATTAACCTAAAAAAGAGTAATTTATGAATCAATTAAAGAGTTTCAAAAATAAACAAACATGGCCAGTAACTAATTCAAATTCAAAAAAAAATATACATACTCCGTTAATAGTAAAAACAACAAAATTTACTTTTTAAAATTATTTGGGTTGTGAAAACAGGGCAAAGGACAACTAGAAATTAGCTTTGGTGAGGAAAGTCAAAAAGCAATAAAAAATTGAGAAGATTGAAGGCACAAACCACACAATCACACAAAAAATTGAAGGCTTGAATATAATGGAGGAGAGTTGGAGAAGAGAAGACCTTACCTTGAAGCTTGAAGACGTCGAAGACAAGAACCTGCGTCGAGAGAGATGATGATCGAGAAGATGAACTCTCTTGGGGAAGAAGGAGATGAAGAACGACGAGAAGATCTTGCGACTTGCGACTACTCGACTCCTGAAAATCCACTGTGGTTTGGTTGGATTTGGAAACAAGTTTTTTACTTATACTTCAAGCCAAAAATCCATCACAATCCATGATTTATAACAATCTTTAAAAATCTATCTATTTTTCAATACCATTAGATTTAGAAAGATTTTTTAAAATCTCACTTGAATACCTTTAAATTTTAATTGATTTTTTAAAATCTCAATTGAATACCTATTGACTTTTTAAATCCAAAAAAATCTTACAGAGTCTGGATTGAATACACCCCCTAATTTTTGATTAAATTTACTGAATAATTATATATTTTTTTAAATTAATCTTCAAAATTAACTAATTCTCAAGATAATAGTAGTTAATTGAAAATAATACTCAATTCAATTCGACGTCATTAAAACGATGTTAAACTTTATACTATTTTTTCAAAATGGTACTTTCTAAAATTTAAAAATTAAAAATGATGTAAAATTTAAAAATTAAAATATTTTAAAAACTATAATAAAATCTTACTCGCTCTGTCTCAAGTAGTTTACCTCTTTATTATTGCAGTGTCTCGATAACTTTTGCTAGTTTGCATTTTTCATTGATCATTTGATAAAATAAAACATTTGGAGGCCTTTATATAGGCGAGGAAGAAAGAGAAGAAGGCGACGTGGCACGAGCGGAGCACGCCGCGTAAGGCGGCGTAATCATCACACATGGGAAGGCGAAAGGACGCGACTACTGCCATGGCCAGCGCCCAACACGTGTCAAAACCGACAGTTTTCAAATTTTGAATTTGAAATATTCGAGCGGGAAAAGCCAGAAATTTGAGTTTTGAATATACCTCTTGGATTTTTACTTCCCGCTTATGACAAAATTGCATAACCGAGAAGTGGAGGGCTTATTGATGGGTGTATTTCACCCACGACCGGTCAAGGGTCCGAATCCGAAAGTTGACCGGTCAAAGAAGTCAAACTTGAAAGGGAGATCTGAATCGTCAGCAAAGGAATGGCTGGTTGACCAGAAAGATGACCGGTATACTTCGGGTTAGTATACCGGTCAAACTATTCCATCGCCTAAATTCATCCTCCGAAGATCGAAGAGTGTCGGCAGGAGGAATCCAAAAGGATTTGGACTATAGTGGTTGGAATTGCAGAGATGCTGGAGGCATTTTCCAAACCAGAACACGACGAAGGCGCAGCCCCCTACGCAAGAGGACAAGGCAGCTCAGAAGCAGTCACCTCCCACCTGCGGTAGCGTAATCCCACGTGGGTGCACGTGGTCTTGCCCCCCCTTCAGCCTAGTATAAATACGCATGTAAACCTCAGAAGGAGGGATCCGAATTCACTCTCTCTAGACTCCCTTGTAAAAGTGACCGTGCATTCTTTATTTTAATACAATTCAGGCTACAGGTGTTCCACCTAAAGTCATACCGGTCATTCCGAGTGTTTTTACCTTCTTTACTTTACTGAATCAAGCCAACTATTCTGGACCCGGTCTAGTATAGTTTGACCGGTCAAGTAATTTACACCATCATTTTTGGCGCCGACCGTGGGACCGTTAAGGTTTTTTCTTTTCTAAACACAAACCTACCCACAAAAACACCACTCAAGATGTCTTCCAGCTAGCAAATCAACGCCACCCCTGCTCAGGTGCAAGCCACCACTGAAGGTACCAGCATCCCCATGGCTGTTACCCTGCCAACCGTTTCTGCTCCGGTTTTGCCATTGGGGCTAAGCTCGGTTCCAACACCCAGCATGGTCAGCCCATTCACGGCTCCCGTCCCTTCCGCTGGACCGAGGGTCACTTTCCCACCAAGCATGACCCAGTTCATGAATGACCCAGCCAACCTGCAGGTCATCCAGGGCTTTGGCCAGGTCATGGCTATGTGCCAACAGAATGGGGGATGCCTTTCCTCCCTGGTATGTTCCCGTTCGCTCTTCCAGGCACGGGAACCATGCCCCTACAAGCTCCAATGGCGGTGTCTCCCTTCCAAACGCTAGTGACGCAACCATCACCTTTCCAGCCGCAGCTAGTCAGCGTTGTGGCCCCCATCAACTTGACTGGTGCGCTTAACGCCGCAGGGCCATCGCGTCCCCCGCAATGTACAAATCCGCTAATCACTCCGGATGGTCACTGCGTCTCGGTTGAAAGCGGAGATGACGAGTGGGACATTCCAAGGACCCACAAGAAAAAGAAGGGAAAAACCGTCCGACCCGCCACCTCCCGAAACTCCGCCTTCGAAAGGCTGGGGGATAGGGAGGAGGGCTAGAGAAAATCAGCCAAGCTGAGGCTAGGGCAGAGCGTGGCCCATGTCAGCGCGTTCGCCCGGCTAGGTGAGATGAGGGAGGTCGAGCCTGCACGCACCCAACGCTCCCGGTCAAACAGGCAGGAGCCAGCCAGGACGAGGGCCTCTCGCCAGGAAGAAGAAGCAGAAAGCCGGCCTAGGGTGCCGGTGGCTAATCGGTTAACCACCCCCAATGATCGCGTCCAACAGATGGAGGCAAAATTGGAGAGGCTGGAGAAGAAGGTTGGGGAGAAGAATGACCGGGACAAACCCCTCGCGGGGTCCCCGTTCACTACAAGGGTCCATCTGACACCTTTCCCGCGAAAGGTTAAGATAGACGCCCCAAGGTTCACCGGTAAGGAGGACCCAGAAATCCACCTGGACTCCTTCAATCAGAGTGCAACCATGAACGGTTGCACAGATGAAGAAAAGTGCCTCCTTTTCTTCCAGACCTTGCGGAATCGAGCCACCGAGTGGTTCAACAAGCTTCGCCCGGGAAGCATTGACTCATTCAGCGACTTGGCCTCGAAGTTCAAGGCCAAGTTCCAGGAGAACTGTACCAAGAGGAAGAAATTCACCTATCTTAGTACAGCCGGGCAGAGGGAATCTGAGAACCTCACCCAATTCCTTACCCGGTGGAAAGAGGAGGTAGACAAGGTGGAAGAGATGGATGACAAAACCGTCTTATCTCTCATCTTGAGTGGCTTACGTGCCGGGGAACTATATAAGGAGTTCTGCCGGAAACCCCCGGCCACGTACCAAGAGGCCTATCACACTGCATGGGAGTTTGCTGAGGCTGAAACTCAACTCCGGGCGAAGAAGGAAGCCGAACATGGGTTCAAGCTCAAGCCGGTGCAGGTCAAAAAGGAAGAAGCACCGGTTACCAGCCGGCCAAGGCACCACTATGACCCGATCGTTCGCATGGTCAACGCAGAAGAATGCCAGGAGGTAAGGAAAGCAACGGCTCCTTACCCGGTCATTCCTCCGGAAAATCCTACCGGTCAAGCTGGGCGTCAGTGGTCGGGCACCTATTGTTCATATCACAGGTTAGATTCCCATAACACTTCTGAATGCAAGAGTGTTAAGGGAGTGATCCGGCAGATGATAGACAGCGGGGAACTAGGCAAGGATTACCTGCAGAAAGCCCAGGAGAAGAACCATCAATGGGTAAGACCAGCAACCCAGGAGAACGACCGGGACAAGGACCGGCGGAGGAACAACCGGCAGAGGGAGCAACAGCCTGCCCCTGACAAAGAGCATAGTGGGATGATCTTTGGCGGACCCAAAGGAGGAGATTCAGCCGCGCAGCGAAAAAACTGGGTTCGCAGCATTTACGTTGGTGAAGTGAGTGCTGAACCGGCCGGGCGTAAGTATCCTAGGAGGGAGCCAATAGTCTTCACTGACCGGGATCTCCCTCCTACCGGTGAAAATCACAGTGATCCATTGGTCATCACCATGGACATCAACGGGGTGGACGTCGGCCGGGTACTTGTTGACACCGGCAGTAGTGTCAACATCCTCTACCTGGAGACCTTCCAGAAACTCAGGTTGTGTCGGACACAACTTGAACCCCTCAAAACCCCTCTCTCAGGCTTCACGGGAGATACGGTGGAAGCTGAAGGGTCCATAGTTCTACCGGTCGAACTAGGATCGGGCGAGAAGGCCGTATGGAAGAAAATGCGGTTCATCGTCGTGGACATCAAATGCGTCCACAACGCAATCCTTGGAAGGCCTGGCATCAACAAGGTCGGGGCGGTGATTTCCATGCCTCACCTATGCATAAAATTCAACACTCCAGGTGGTGTGGGTAAAGTGAAAGGCGACCAGAGGAACGCCCGGGAGTGCTATGCCCGGGCAGTCAAGAAGATGGCCAAGGGGGTCAACGTCATCTCCCAAGAAATCACCAAGGGAGAGACCCGGGAGAAATTGGAGCCCGAGGCCGAGACGGTGGAAATCGAACTTCACCCGGGTGATCCTTCAAGGATGGTCAGAATCGGAGCCAATCTCCCAGAAGACCTCAAGGCGGAGATTACGCGGGTACTCCGAGAATACGCGGGCATATTTGCTTGGAGCGTGGCAGATATGCCTGGGATTGACCGCTCAATCATCTGCCACCGGCTGGCGGTAAGGGAGGGAAGTCGACCAGTACGCCAAAAGAAAAGGTACCTGGCCAGTGACCGGCGAGACTTCGTCAAAAATGAGGTGAAGGACCTCCTTAGTGTTGGTCACATTCGGGAAGTCAAATACCCGGATTGGTTGGCCAACGTGGTTCTTGCCCCCAAGGGTGACACATGGAGAATGTGTATGGACTACACGGACTTAAACAAGGCTTGTCCGATGGATTCATACCCCCTCCCCAGTCCTGATCAAATGGTGGACGAAACTGCGGGGTGCGAACTCTTGAGTTTCATGGATGCCTTCAAGGGCTACCACCAAATCTACATGGCCAAGGAGGATGAAGAGAAGACTTCATTCCTCACACCCGAAGGAACCTACTGTTACCGGGTAATGGCGTTTGGCTTGAAGAATTCGGGGGCAACCTATCAGCGCATGGTGAACAAGCTCTTCAAGCCACTGCTGGGAAAGACCATGGAGGCATACGTCGACGACATGCTAATCAAAAGCCAGGTATCTCTCAATCACCCGGTTGATATGCGCGCCACATTCGATATCATGGCAAGATACAACCTACGGTTGAATCCTAAGAAATGCGTCTTCGCGGTTCATACCGGGAAGTTCTTGGGATTCATGGTGACCAGGAGAGGAATAGAGCCCAACCCAGAAAAAATTCGGGCTATCACTGAAATGCAGGCCCCCACATCTGTGAGGGATGTCCAGAAGTTGACCGGTCGTCTAGCGGCACTCAGCCGGTTCCTTTCCCGGTCAGCTGAGAGGTCCCTGCCTTTCTTCAAAGTCCTGAAGAAGGCCAACACTTTTGCATGGGACGAAGAGTGCCAGAGGGCATTCGAGGAGCTGAAAAAATACCTAGTGTCAGATATTGTATTGTCTAAACCCCAGCCGGGTGAAACTCTGTATCTGTACCTGTGAATTTCCCCAAATGCTGTAAGCTCTGTTTTAATAAGAGATGATGGGGCACAAAAGCCTATTTATTATGTGAGCAAAGCACTAAACGGAGCTGAAAGTAGATACACGGCAATGGAAAAAACAGCCTACGCGCTTTTCATCTCCGCAAAGAAGTTAACATCCTACTTCCAAGCTCACCCGGTAGAAGTCTTGACTGACCAACCGCTGGGTGCAGTGTTGCGAAATTCAACATCCTCCGGGAGGATGGTGAAGTGGGCGATGATGTTAACTCAATTCAACATTGAGTACCGGCCAAGGTCAGCAATCAAAGGACAGGCCCTTGCAGATTTCTTGGTAGAAATGACCGGTCTAACTCCAGACCTACCGGTCACCAAACCCGCCGAACAATGGTGGGAGATGGCAGTAGATGGGGCATCTGGCCCTAAGGGGTACGGGGGTGGTGTGGTGTTTACCACCCCAGAGGGTTTCAAGATCTACCATGCAATCATTTTCAATTCCAAGCTGACGAACAATGAAGCAGAATATGAAGCTCTAACTGGAGGGCTCAGACTTGCCCGAGCCCTGAAGATCGACCGGGTCAGTATCAAATCTGATTCTAGTTTGATCGTTGGACAAGTGACCGGTAACATGGAAGCCAGAGAGGGGCGAATGGCGCAATACAAGGACCTGGTACTTGCCTTATTGAAAGGCTTTGAGGAATTCAAGATCGCCCAACTCCCCCGGGCGGAAAATGCATATGCGGACCTTCTCTCCAAATTGACGCAATATGCTCCCGAGCATGTTTCAAAACTTGCTCGGGTAGAAATTCTTGATCATGCCAGCATCGAGAAACTGGAAGTAGCTGCCATAACAGGGGAAGCCCAATCTGACCGGTCAAACTTGGTCGGGGCGGATGACCACTGGATGTATGATCTGATGGAATATCTGATGGACGGGACCTTGCCGGAACAAGATGACCGGGCAAGAAAAGTGAAGCTCAGGGCGCCCCGGTTCCAAGTCCTTGACGGAAAGCTGTACAAGAGGGCGTTCGGGGGACCCCTCCTGAGGTGCCTAACCAACCGGGAGGCTGAACGGGTCATAGCAGAAGTCCATGAAGGTGTATGCGCGGCACATCAAATGTCACGCACTCTTTCCCAGCGCATCATCTTGTTGGGGAATTACTGGCCAACAATTGTCCAGGATTGCGAGAGGTACGTCCAGAAGTGCAGAACGTGCCAAGTGTTCTACAAGTACCCCGGTAGGCCGGCAACCTACTATCACCCCGTATCAAATGTCATCCCTTTCGCTAGATTCGGGGTGGATATCATTGGAGCATTCCCAATCGCCCAAGGAAGGAAGAAATTTGTAATCGTGGCCATCGATTACTTCACAAAATGGATTGAAGCTGAGGCGTTGGCCAATATTACCACGCAACAATGCAAGAAGTTCATTTGGAAGAACATCATCACCAGGTTTGGGGCTCCCATGAACCTAATTACCGACAACGGCCCACAATTCCGAAATCCAAGATTCACTGAATACTTGGAGGGCTGCGGAATCAAGCACAACCGCTCTTCGGTGGCGTATCCCCAAGGAAATGGCCAAGTTGAAAATGCCAACCGAACAATTGTGGATGGCCTAAAGAAACGACTGGGAGAGGCAGGAAACAAGTGGCTGGAAGAACTCCCACATATCATCTGGGCGTTCCGAGTAACACCCAGGAGGGCTCATGGGGAAACTCCATTCTCCCTAACCTATGGGTGTGAAGCAAGGCTGCCCATCGAAGCTGAACTCCCAACATTCCGGGAATCAAATTATCAGCCCCAGCAAAATGAGGAAGATCACTTGGCCGAACTCAACTTGGTCGAAGAGCGGAGAATGGCCGCGGAAGTTAAAATGAGCACATATCAACAAGTCGTGAAGAAGTACCACGACAACAAGGTTGGACCACGATACTTTCAAGTCGGCGATGAAGTCCTGCGAAGAAGGGAGGCTAGTAGACCGGGAGACGGAGGAAAGCTGGCCAAAAACTGGGAAGGGCCTTACCGGGTGAGAGCTATCATTCGCCCGGGAACCTACCGGTTAGAAACTCTTGAAGGTGTACCGGTAGAAAGAACCTGGAATTCCCATCATCTACGAAAGTTCTACAAATGATTGTAGTACTAGGCAAGGCCTACTTTATTATCAATCAAACCGATGACATTCAATACTCTACATGGTAGCAGCAGAATTGATAGGTCGAACCTATCCTAGGAGGGCTTCCCGGGTGGATCGGACCCACTCGGATAAGCCAACTGAGACACAGGCCCGGACCTGGCACGCTGGTTACTACACCGGTCTTGCTCAGTATAATAGAAAAAATATAAAACCCGGAAGAGGGGCCCAGAAGAGGGTATGCCTGCAAGAGGGCTGGACCTGGAAGAGGGTTCGAACCGTACTTACACGGGCCCATGAGGTTTGACCGGTGTCGGGGAATCAGCCGGCACCGTCAAATTGATTGGGAACTAAAAGATGCCCATTAAAAGAAATAGAAGGGGATCGTCCACCGTGACGCATCCTGTTTCCCCCTTCTCAGGGAAGACTTGAACGGGGGGTGAGCTAAGGCCTTCCCGGGATGGTAGAAATCAAAGGGCCATTAAAAGACTTAATCACCCGGAAGAGGGGGCCCTGGAAGAAGGGTGCATTTGAACCTTGGAGAGGGTTCGAAACCATTCGAACATGGTTAATTCTCCAGTATTCTTACCGGTTAAGGATACTTCAAGAAATTGCTAGGTTACAGGTGCTTCCATCTACAACCTACCGGCAAAAAAAAAAAGAAAGAAATACCCCGGTTGGGTATCGATACAGCGGAAACTCAAAAGTTCTACCACAAAGGAGTTGACCGGTCAAACCATGGAGTGGGAATCTACCGGTCAAATTGAACTTTGTCGTAGAATTCGTGAAGATATCCAAAAAGCCAAAATGGAGTTCAGCCGGTTCACTCTAGTTTAACCGGGTTGGACTTAGCGTATTCAAAAACAAGCCAAGAAAGCAAGAATTAAAGTTAGACTGGTCAAAGTTACTCGAACTGATCCTTCAGATAAAGTGATCAAAGAGAACTTTGAAGTTCTACCGGTCGAAAGCAATTAGATGAATGAGACGGGATTGATTTCTGTACCGGTCAGTTATCCTATGATGGCATTCTAAGAAGCAAAAAAGCAAAATCTCAATCAAGGAGCTGGCAGATATGGAAGATTAGTCGGTGAGAAAATAAAACATGCATTCAAACAAAATGAGAATGTTAAATGTTTACAGCTACACCGGGCATCCCCGGGGAAATTTCAAGTTTTCAAGTTTTCAAAAGATAACCGGTCGCAGCCGGGAAGACTACTCGAGAGGAAAGGGAGGTGCAGGCTCTTCATCCGGGATGGGGGCCAGGCCGTAAGATTCAGCATTGAAGTCTGGATCCCATTCAGCAAGGATCGCATGAGTGGCCTCCCGGTCACTCTTCTGACCTGACATGAAGCCGTAAGAGCCGACCTGAGTAATCATCTCCTTCCCATGCTCCTCCCGGTACAACAACCTGAAGCCTTCCATTGTTCTCTCCTCAGAGGAAGTGAGTACCCGGGCAGCTTCCACCAGATTGTCCTCCATCCACTACTTGGCCTTGCCGGGGAATTCTCGCTCCTTTAGCTCCAGGTCCTCCATCAGCTTCAAATTTTCTTCCTTCAGCTGGAGGGTCTCTGCTTTGGCCCCCTCGGCAATCTTCGAGAGATTGGTCACCTCTTCAAGCTGCCGGGCTATCAGGTCCTGAAGCTCCCAGTTGTGGGCTTCAACTCTTTTCAGCTACTCCTCTAGCTGATGTGACCGGGAGGAATCCTTTGTGACCTTCTCCAAAGTTCCCGGGCCGACTTCGCCCATCTGCGAGTTGGAGAATGAACCGGTTAAAGAAACAAATAAACAGACCGCGAGAATAACTTACCAGGAGAATGTTACCTCTTTCAGTTTGAGGGTCATCTTGACCCACAACTCTTCCATGGATTCCCTGACCGGGGAGGGCTCCTCTCTTCTCTTCTTGGAGGACGGATGGGTGGTGGCAGCTTGCTTCACCCTCTTCTTTCCCTTCCCCTTGCTGGGGGAAGGATTCGCCGGTGCCTTCCCAGACTGGTCAAGTCCCCCGGTCTGGGGAGTTTCCTCCTCGTCGTGGATCTCGACGGTTTCTGGTTGGCCCGGTCCAGTCTTGGGGGCAGCTGAAGAAGAGCCACCGGTAGTATTGGGAATGCCGAAGGACCTGAAGTTCATATCTGCAGAACGAATGAAGAGGAATTATAAGTAATCCATTTATGACCGGTACGCTTAAAGAAATAAAAGGAAAGAAAGATACCTGGGTGGCTTGGGCCCCCGGCCTCAGCAGTGTTGCCCGGGGAGGGTACCCCGTGCCCCGCTGCCTCCTGGGCCTGGGGGTACCCCTACCACCCGGTTGGATCCTCCAAATCCAAGCCCCGTAGTGGAACATTTGCCCGGTGAATGGTCCCCATGTAGAAGTTTCTCCAAACTTTCTTCCAAGTCTGGAGCACTAGCCGGCTCGGTGTATTGGGACTTGAGAATGTGGTCATTCCACTTGATGCCGGCCAAGGGAGAAGCGGTGGGGAATTTTATAAAAACAAATTTTTCCTTCCACTGCCGGTTGCTTTGTGGAAGGTCAGAAATAAATTGACGACCATTGCGGCCTTTGAAGTAGACGTAACCGTCACAACCCGACTTACCGGGAAGGACTTCAAACAAGTAGAGAAACAAGCGGAGGGAAGGATCAATCTTAAGCTCTATACAAATATTCACGAAGGCATTAAGGAAACGGTGGGCATTGGGCGTAATTTGCCNTCTCCAAACTTTCTTCCAAGTCTGGAGCACTAGCCGGCTCGGTGTATTGGGACTTGAGAATGTGGTCATTCCACTTGATGCCGGCCAAGGGAGAAGCGGTGGGGAATTTTATAAAAACAAATTTTTCCTTCCACTGCCGGTTGCTTTGTGGAAGGTCAGAAATAAATTGACGACCATTGCGGCCTTTGAAGTAGACGTAACCGTCACAACCCGACTTACCGGGAAGGACTTCAAACAAGTAGAGAAACAAGCGGAGGGAAGGATCAATCTTAAGCTCTATACAAATATTCACGAAGGCATTAAGGAAACGGTGGGCATTGGGCGTAATTTGCCCAGGGAGGATCTTGAAACAGTGGCACAACTCGACTAGAAGGGGGCAAAGGGGGAAAACGGTGCCACTCTCCAGGGAGACGATATGGAACCCTACCCTATCATCCCGGTGAGGCTCGATGATGTTGGGCCAGTTAGGGTCGTATTCAAGGACATACCCCTCCGGGAGATTCCTACGGGCTTTGTTTTGAGCAATCTTGGAAACCCGGGGGACTATATCGGCGGGGTAGCCGGTAGGAAGGGGAGAATAACCGGCTGCGTCGAGCCGGTCCACCCATTCCTCGTACGATTCGTCATCAGGGTCATAGGGAGCCGGCTCATCTTCGACCGGTGCATCCCTCTCCTGAAATACTTGACCGGGCATCTGATTTACCGGCCGTGGTTCAGGGATGCTAGGGTTTGGAGTCGACCGGGGCTGAGGAATGGGGGAAGACGACCCGGTCGAGGAAGAAGAAGAAAGAGATTCCTCGGATGCGCGGGCATCCGAGGCAGAAATGTCTTGACTATCAGAAGAAGACATCGACCGGGGAGAAAAACGAAGAATAAAAGGGAAAACTAAGGAAGAAAAAAGAGAGCTTACTTGGCTCGGAGGGCTGGAAGGCTAGAGGGAGCTTGACCGGTGAAACTCGAGAGACGCGCACGAAGAAGTGAAGAAATGAATGGGGTTGGAGTCCTTTATATAGGCGAGGAAGAAAGAGAAGAAGGCGACGTGGCACGAGCGGAGCACGCCGCGTAATGCGGCGTAATCATCACACATGGGAAGGCGAAAGGACGCGACTACTGCCATGGCCAGCGCCCAACACGTGTCAAAACCGACAGTTTTCAAATTTTGAATTTGAAATATTCGAGCGGGAAAAGCCAGAAATTTGAGTTTTGAATATACCTCTTAGATTTTTACTTCCCGCTTATGACAAAATTGCATAACCGAGAAGTGGAGGGCTTATTGATGGGTGTATTTCACCCACGACCGGTCAAGGGTCCGAATCTGAAAGTTGACCGGTCAAAGAAGTCAAACTTGAAAGGGAGATCTGAATCGTCAGCAAAGGAATGGCTGGTTGACCAGAAAGATGACCGGTATACTTCGGGTTAGTATACCGGTCAAACTATTCCATCGCCTAAATTCATCCTCCGAAGTTAGCTAAACCAACCCTGAAAGATCACCCGGTCTAGTTTCCGAAGATCGGAGAGTGTCGGCGGGAGGAATCCAAAAGGATTTGGACTATAGTGGTTGGAATTGCAGAGATGCTGGAGGCATCTTTCCAAACCAGAACACGACGAAGGCGCAGCCCCCTACGCAAGAGGACAAGGCAGCTCAGAAGCAGTCACCTCCCACCTGTGGCAGCGTAATCCCACGTGGGTGCACGTGGTCTTGCCCCCCCTTCAGCCTAGTATAAATACGCATGTAAACCTCAGAAGGAGGGATCCGAATTCACTCTCTCTAGACTCCCTTGTAAAAGTGACCGTGCATTCTTTGTTTTAATACAATTCGGGCTACAGGTGTTCCACCTAAAGTCATACCGGTCATTCCGAGTGTTTTTACCTTCTTTACTTTACTGAATCAAGCCAACTATTCTGGACCCGGTCTAGTATAGTTTGACCGGTCAAGTAATTTACACCATCAGGAACGGATAAAGTATAAATAAAGTATATAATTTGATCATTTGATCTAGTATATTGAGTTTATGGTGTGATTTAACCACTAGATAATTTATTCTTTATAATTCTTAAATGATTTATGATTTAATTTTAAAAATACATTATTTTTAACTATTTATCATTATATGATAATTGAAACTATATTATAAAATATAATTGAGAAACAAATGTGTCACCATGACTTCTTATGTTGACACAAGCATTCCTTACTATTTCACATCATTGACGAGTTTTAAATAGGGAAGAGAGATCTTCATTTTTATTAGAGTATTCTTTCTTAATATTATGTTTTTATTTCATTTATAATAATACTTTTAGTAAGTTTCATATTTTTTATGATATGCGGAAATAAAGTTAGTTTTTACTCGATTTATCTAAACAATGATGTGAAATAAAAAAAATTAATCTCTATTTTTAACATTATACAGAGTATAAAACAAAAGATGATTTGAGTACTATTTAAAATAATCAAGTATTTAAATCAAATAAATATTTAATATGAATTTTGTATTTTATGTTGGTAATTCGACTTACTATTTTAATCAAAATAAGTTTGTATTTTAATTTACCATTTTCTTAAGGTGTGACTTAATATTTATAAATTTATATTGTGTAATTATTCACTATATTTATGCATGAAGATAAGAAATTTTGAATGTGAGAGGACTTACTTCATTCCTACATTTTCATTTGCATAATTGTACATAGAAACGACATATGATGGTGTTTTATGAGACAGAGAAAGATGGCAACGATGTATGTAAAAAAGATTGTGATAAGGAAGATCACGATGCGGAGGGGGCGCTAGAAGATCCGTGACAATGAACATCTAGGTGTAAATGCAATCAATAAAGCAAGAAAAAGTGCATAAAAGATCCAAAGTGCAAAAAACGAATAAGATCAAAACTTGGATACTAGCACATCAAAAAGAAATATAATTTCCAATTTACAGGTATTTGTGTTTAGTTAAAACATTTTTGCATTGATCAGAATGCTACAACGGGTTTGAGTGATTTTGCATTTTAAAACAAAAAATAATAAAAAGAATAAAAAACAATTAGGGGTGTAAACGGATATTAATCGAATCGGATGTGTCATTACCAAATTCGTATCCGTTTATTTTTGTCGGATGTCGAATTCGGATACGAATCTTGACGGATAGTGAAAATCAAAATCGTATCCGTATCCGTCGAATACCGATCCGATATCAAATATATACATATTCATTTCCAATTTTTAAAATTAAATTAAACAATACTTTTTTTAAAATTAGATTAAAGTGGAACTATTATTAAATCAACTATAAATTGTTATATGATATATATATTTTCTTTGTTTTCATGATTTATGATATTCTACAATGACTTTATATGATAAAAAGATACACACACACACAATACACATATACACATATTTTTATATGTCCGTGCATATTTTCATGTGTCTACACATTTATTTTGTATATAAAAATATCTTATACTTTGAAATATCAATAGAGAAACAAAATATAAACATAAAGAAAAATTATATATAATGGATCGGATATTCGGATAAACCGTTATTTAAACGAATGCATATTCGGATCGGATATACAATTACCAAACCCGTATCCATTTAATCAGATATCCTTAATCAGATACGGATAATATCCATTTAAAACGAATGCAAATATTTCCTCTTTAAATGGATATTGATGCCGACGGTAATCTGATTTTCGGTTATCCGCTGGCAGCTCTAAAAATAGTCACTTTTTTTTGTAAATTTTCCTTAAGAGATCAACCAAAAATAGAAGTAAAAATATTAAAAAATAAGATTAACATATTTTTATCTGCAAACTGCTACTATTGCAATATAATGTGACATTGTATATTGATATTTCATTGTAATTTTTGTATTATATGTTGGTCTTATTGATATTTTAGTTCTTGTTTTGCCGATAAAACATAAGGATTCTATTTTTTGTTTACTTTTTCTATTTAATTTCTATTTTAATCTTTCTCTTTTTTTCATTTAGAATCATTGTAGCACTACTTTTTTATTAATGTTTTCTTTTTCAAAATTGGTGCGGGGGAGAAGAGTTGTTTTATTTTAAATTTTTTCAAATTAATACTTTTAATAATAGAGTCATATGATCGCTAATCTAAGCTTTTATTTTTGAATAATGCAATAGAGATGAATTAATTTCTGTATTCAATGTGGGTGGGGGATCATTTTTATCGCTAATCTTAATTAATGTGAGAATGAAAAATCATGTTTTTTAATCGTAGAATCATAAGATCGGTAATATGAACTTTTTAAAATTTATGCTAGGGAAAAGATTTATCGAATCACTAATGTTTTTGTATTTTATAATTTATACGAAAAGAAAAATTATAAATTCAATAAATCTAGATCATTTATATTTGACATTTAAATGATATGTCTCATAAAAAAGCTAAGTCATTTTAGGGCCTGTTTGGGAATAGCGTTAGAGATTAGCGTTAGCGTTTTAGATAAAATTTTAATAGTACAGATTAATTTGAAAACGCTAACGCTAAACGCTGCCCATAGATAGCGTTTTCAAAACGCTCACGCTAATCGCTAAAGCTATTCCCAAACAGACCCTTAATGCTCTACATTGTAGAATCATAACCAATTTCGTATCACCCCTTGCATGAGTTTATTTGTTGTGGTGTTGACATGTGACATGCCACATATGCATCCACATGTGCACGCATTTAATGAGGTTGATGCATTTCATTGGTGGAATTAGTTTTTTAAATGATCTTTTAATACATTTGAATAAAAGTTTTTCACTTTTAAATATTCTTTAAACATATATTTCACCATTGTAAAATATACTTCTTATTATATATATATATATATATATGTATATATGTATATATATATATGTGTATGTATGTATGTATGTATATAGTAACTTTTACATATACAGCTTAATCCATATTGGAACATTAGTGAGACTGTTAAAATCCACTGTGGTGGATTTACATATGTATATATATATGTGTATGTATGTATGTATGTATCTGTGTGTATATATATAAGATTATTTTAATACTATTCACCATTTATTTTAGTTTAGTACTTCTCAAAAAATAATTATAGAAATTTAAACACATATGCATATTTACTAATTAAATAATTTTATTCAAAACTTTTATCGAATCATATTATTTATTTTATTACTACATATATTTTTCAACACAGTAAATAGAATAAAGTAGATTTAATTGAAAGGTAACAAGTGACATTATACCACATATACATTCTCTAATGATGTATCATTATTTAATTAGTCCATTTTTTATTATAATATTTTATTATTTAAAACCATTTTCATTTATACATCATTTAATGACCACTAATTTTGTATAAAATCTTTTGTTTTTAAATTAACACACCAATATATATATTCCATCAGTTTAAAGCATATTTTGTCATTAGAAAAGTAAAATAAAAAAATTATTTTTATACAAAGTCAAAATTTTAAAACATATACGAGCTCGTACGAAGCACGGAATTCACACTAGTTTAGACAAAGAGAAGTATGAAATTAAATAAGTCCTCAATTTTGAGCTTCCTTCAATAGTATTGGACCAATTGGCGCATGATGCCCAAGTTAACATTTTACAATTGGACTCGAGCCCAAAACTAATCCTTACTATACCCTAGAAACCTGCAATGGAATCCACATGAGTATATATTCTTCCCTTCCGCCTTTGGCTCTGGTCTCGGAAATTCATTTTCTCTGCTTCCGACGCAATGGTGAAGTATTCCAGGGAGCCCGACAATCCCACCAAGTGTATGATTCCATCTTTCTCGGCACATCTACATTCATATTCTGTTCGTCTTCTTGTTTGATCTATTATTGTTTATGATTTTTCTTTTGAATTGCAGCCTGCAAAGCCAGGGGTGCAGATCTCAGAGTTCATTTCAAGGTATATTTATGCTTCTCCGCTTGAACTATTTCATGTTTAGTT